TGTTTAGGATCAATACATTTGTATAGTTAGACAAATTATTGTTCTTAATTACTTATTTAAACATTAAAGGTCTTTCTTAGCTTGTACGTAGTTCTTACTGTTCGTTCTTTGAAATTTCTAATTTTTTTTTTTTTGGATTTGTTAGTAGCACGTGAACGTTCATAAAAGGCTTGTTTAATTAAAAATATGAAACATAATAAGAAATATAAAATGGAGTTTCAACTGTATATATGTATAAATATACAGCGGAACGCTCGTGTAGGACGTCGTATTTGTAGCTTCTTCTAACTTTCCCGAGTTTTTCGTGCTCGAGTTAGCGCCGTGTCCGCCCGCGCCCGTTGTACCCTAGCTCTGTGCTTCGTATGTGTGCGCGCCCCCGAGGTAAAGAACGATATATAGAAAGAAGAAATAACTCCGCGCGATAATTCAGGGGTCTCAACCCTCCCGCCTCGGTGCTTCCTGTCCTCGTGAGAGTAATGCCGGCGGGCCCGGGTACGACCGAAAAAAGCGTCCTGTTTTCCCCCTTGCCTTTCGCTCTTTCTTTTCCTCCTCGCTCGTGCTATCCTATTAAAGTGCGATCTTGCGAATCTCGGCTCGGTTTGACGCGACTTTCATTCGCGATCGCGTTGCCGTGTGCCGTCATGAATGAGGACGGAAGGCTGTTTTATACAGTCATAAGGAGGGTAACAATACGGATAAACGACGCGGCGGTAACGAATGATGTCTTCGTGATGTTTTAACCGTCTATTCTCTTCACACCCTCCTTTGCACCCCGTGGTCTTCATTCTGCGCGCCCTTCTTTCGCAGTGTTTCCGGGGTCAAGATTCACGAGACGAGGGAGCAAAGCTCCGGGGTAGGCGAGAAAAGAAAAGCGACAAAGGGGAAGGCAGCGCAAGCAGGGTGCACGCGAGTGGGAAAGATAAATTGCGGGCGTAGATGTACCGCGCCATAAAGAGCGTGCTGACCGGTCCATGACGCTCCCGCGGCGACTCCATGTTTAAGCAGCAAATCGCGCATCGGAGATTCATGAATGCGCGGCGCCAAGTGCCTTTTGATATCCGCATCACGCCGAAGACGAATAAGATTCCTATTCCATCATCCAAAAGAGCTTGCGCACTGGTATGGAAACGCGGATCATGCTTTAACACGCGTTTTTATACGCGAGTTTTACGCTCTGACGTATAGATAAGAGAATATTACCTCCTTCCCTTAACTTTTATACTGTTACTCTCAAATCTTTGCGCGATCGACGCCAGTCGTCTCTGAGCAATCCGGAAACTTTCCGCGTGTCTATGTATAGAAATCCGCTCGGAAATTCGCGCACGCGTAAATCCGAACAGAATTATCCGCTCTAATCTAAAGCCTTACACGGCGAACTTTAGAATCCCATCGCGCGCGCGAGACATCCGGCGAAAGTTTGACTGCATCTAAGAATAGTCGCGCCCCAATTAATCTCGAAGTACATTTTAGACGTTCGCACTTCATTAAACGTGTAATCGCTCGATTAATGAGATGTACGAGATACCGCGGCGTGAATTGCGGCTAAGTTTCGCAGAGGTAATAGAGCTGTTAATCCCGAAAGTGGTGTAAGTCGAGTTTCAGAGCAAGACGAATCAAGATGCAGCATTATTGATGATATACTTATTTTAATGAAATTTTCTAAACTTGTCGAGTGTGTGTTGGAAATGGATTTCTGTCTAATTTGTTGTGTCGCGAAATCTCCTAATTCTAGAGATCTTCAAAAGTTTAGGTAATCGTGTGTTTCAAAAATATTATAAATCATTTCCTAAATAAAATTACTACGAAGAATTAAAATTGTTTTATTTCAGATTAGTACCCAAGACAATAAATTAATTTCTATAATATTACGTCTTGTATAAAATTTCATTAAAGTTAACGTTTGCCTTTAACGTTGTTCTTCGGAGTAATACGTTCGATTGATCGAAAAATGAAATACTTGAGGGATGGAGCTCGTAACGTTTTAGTTCGTACTATTGTGTGTTGAAATATCTGCTCATTTCTAACTAAAATTGCCAGAGTTGCACAAAAGGGAGCGATATTGGATTCAATAGTATACCTTATATGTATGTACCAATGGCATCTTAGTTATTTTATCATATCTTTTAATAATATTTTGTCTCCGTTAAAATAAATTTTTTTTATCTTTGATTACTTATTATAGATATTTCAGGAGTTTGAGATATGTAACAAATGAATCCTTTTGTACCAGTTCATTATAAGCCGCAGCAATGCGCTTGATGTACTTGCTGTAACAAAGCATTTTCAATGGCATCGAGGAAATTAGGTCACTCGGTCTATGATCTATGGTTTCTAGCATGGGATACATTATGCCGATCTGGTTCGCTTCCTGCGAATATCGTGCTCTATATCGTGCTTCAGTGTTTTCGAAACGAGGCCTTGCGCGAGCGATCAGCATACGTCATTACGCAGTTCGCAGCGCCTGCGGGCAACGCAATCCGTATACTGCTGAGGATCAATTCCGGGGAACAGGGAACAACATAGATACATTTCCGCGACGTATCTTGCGAATGTTTGACGGCAGATACAGAATAAATCATATTTTTTCCGTGAAGAATTACGATGATAAAGAAAGAGAGCCACATTTGCAATTTTTAATTCTTCCGTTATAGCCAAATTGGATGCAAAGCTCTACTGCTGTACGAATAGTTCTATCTCGCTTCAACAATATTAGCAACATAATCGGATTCTGCTGCTTTAATAAATTAAAATGCCACATTTGCTGCGTTATTATTTCATAATAAATTATATGAAATATAATTTTATAATTTAACTTCATATTTTATAGAATTCGTTAGTATGAAATAATAACGAAGCAAACTATGCTATTTTAATTTATTTACACACACAGTGGAAATAAATAAAACAGTATAATGTAACAATATAATAAATGTAAATACTCGCATAATGCAAAGTAAAAGGACAACTACAATTTCGTTTAAAAAAAAAAAAGACAATTCTAAGGAAGTCACTAATGTACTTAAGAGGTTAAAAAGAGTGCACAACACCAGAACAATTATACCTTCCTTGTTCCCTTTTCTATTTCATTTTGGCAATAATTATTAGGTGTTTGCCGAACGTCTTAAATATTATAGTATATAAAATATAATATATTTGTGCATGTAGTATGTCATTCCCTTACAAGAAAACTAACACAATTAAAAGAATGTGATTTTCGAGTTGTTATTATAAATAAGTTAGGTAAACATTATATTCTATCAGTTATAAAAAATAAACTATAACTTAATTTTACAGTCCGTCCATCAAATAGTAATTGTATCGTTTTTTAAAGGTTTTTGAATAAATCGTAACATCTTCTACGAAGATGACATACTTTGAGTTACATATATCATTTTTGTAAATATAAAGGCAGAATTTTCTACAGAATGCATTTAGAATTACAATTTTGGTGATCAAGATAAATATAAACTGTTGGTGATGTATTTCAAGTTATGTCACTTTTTATAAATTATTCTGAATTTATTGTATTACAATTTTCCGTAGGAAATTGAAATTATCACAGCTAAAAAAAGATGATCTTTTAAGGTGACTTTTTATGAAGCGAAAATGACAAAAAAGTGACATTTGATTATATTTTTAAGAGTATGTTTCTTTTGCCGATATAATTTAACTAATCAATAATTTTCTGTCCAATTGAAAAATAGATTTTCTCCTTTTCTGAAAAACTTAATTTATTGAACTGCACGTCACTTTTGAAGTAAAGGAATAATTTCAATAAAATCGGAGAACAATTCAATTAGGCGTTCCAAATACATAAATCAATTAAGTAAATCTATTTTCAGTCAAAGTGGATCTTAGTGCTTAAATATTTAGGGTAAATTTATTTACATGTCCAATTCTGTAAACCGCAGGAGATCTAAGTTGCTCGGTTGAGGTAATATTTTTAATTAACAACAAATTAAATTATTTACAGTTCTTAAGATGCTTAGATTAGCATGAAATTATTAATATCCTTTTCAGATTTAAGACTTATTAGCATCAAAATTATTAAGTCGCTTGTCAATTTAACATGTAATATTACTATATTTTAGTTCTGTTTATGACCGAAAAAGATTTCGATAAGCAGTTTGCAGAATTGAATATGTCCGTGATAAATTCACTCTAACTGAAATATTTAAACACTAAGATCTATTTTAATCGAAAATAAGGTCATTTTCAGCTCTTAACTTATTCTCGTCTAGTAAATTGTAATTGTTCCAATAGAAGATACGAGATGTATAATATGTAAACATCTCGTCTTTTAATCGTGTACTGTGAAAAGCAAGACTAGAATTCAGCGAAGACAGATTCGAGGACACGTATCTTAGCGCAAATTGAGATTCATGCGATCAACCTATCCTACGTGTCCGAGCAGCGAAGAAGCACAGCGTCCTGAGGATTCCGCAAGGGCGTACAAGGGCTGACAATGTCCCTAATACCAGCCGAATAATGATACGCGTAACAAACCGCATTCATTCAGCGGGAAAAAAAAAAAAAAAACAACTTTCGGCCGACAAATTGAATCCGCGGGTCTCGGGGCAGGCGGTCGTCCCCACCGCGTGCGGAAGGAGGTGCGGAATAAAATCGCGGCATTTTCGCGAGAGGGGGGGGACCTGTCCGCGTGTGTGCTCGGTCGCGAGCCAGCCGTGTGAGGTGTGCGGCGTCGGAGAAGCGAGCATCAGGAGGGAAGACGAGAAAACGAGATCGCGCGCGCGGGGCTTCCCGGTGGAAACGGGATAAACCCACGCGAGACGCAGGGAAGAGCGCGAAGGAGCGAAGAGCTCACTTCCCCGCGGCAGGGGTGGCAAGGGCAGGGGGCGGCGGGGCCGAGGGCGGGAGGGGAGGAGAAGGAAGTGGAAGCTGCGAGATCGTCGGCGGGCGCTGGTGGGGATAAAAGGGCGGTCGCGCAGGCGCGACTTGCGACAGAACTGCTTCGCGCGGCGACGCTCAGTCTCGTCCGTCGCAATCCGGTGCAGATATACGTGCAATTACCCTGTCAACAGTGCTTAAAATCCTCGGTTCGTGCTCGTGCTGCATTTCATTAGCACACACGGTGATCGATAACGCGCACGTCGACGAGTTCGTCGTCGATCGTCGACGCGTCGCGCGATCGACGCGCGTATAAAGGACGAAAAGGAGAGGAAAAAAGAAAAAGAAAACAGAAACAAAAAAAGGTGGCAGCCGCGGGAGAAAGTTTTACGGAGAGCACGCGGCGCGCGCGAAGAGATAAATCCGAGGTGATTTGAATTCGACCGCTCTGAATCGTCGCGGAAAAGCGGAGAGGGACTCTGTTGTTCGGCGTGAAGTTTGACGTGAATCTGTCGGACGGTGAATCCTGGTGGTGACGCGCGTCAGTAGTGCCGTCAGTCCGGCTGGAACGCGCGAGACGAGTGGTAGTGTGGAAAGACTACGTCGTGCGTTCACCGATTTTCATTATCGCGAGCGAGTGGTACGTATCAACGTGATAGAAGGAAAGAGCGTGCGGTGTGCGAAGCGAGCAGATGTGGTGCCGGGTAATTTCATCCAGTTGCGTTCACGCGACCTAACTGCCGGCGCGGCGGAGTGAAGTCAGTCGTCAGTGTGTTTGTTAGCCGCGAATCGTTTGGTCGCCGAGGGACCGCTGCTCGAGCTTTTTCGTACACGCTGCCGTCGAGATGAAGACTTGCCACCTGTGGCTAGAAGTGGCTGTCGCTCTCCTGACGATAGCAGGTAAGTCACCTGCGTGTGTATTGAGACGTGATATTGAAAAACATTCAGGATATTGAAAAACGATTTGTCCCTCGTACCTTTTACCATTCTCATGGATGTGTTTTGCGATATGTGTGGGTGGGTGTGTATGTGTGTGTCTGTACGTGGGTGTGTGTTAACTCTCAATTAAACGCTCGAAATTGAGCCATTCATTAAGACCCGGTTCTACCAACGTAAGATTAATTTTAATCTCGGTTTAATTGATTGTTTATTTTTTCTTTAATTCTTAGAATTGGAAAATTTAGAAAATTCTAATTCTTAGGAGTTAGAAGAAGATAAAAAGAAAATCGAACTGAAATTAAAGTTAATCTTCATTAGTGGAACTCCGAGTGTCTAAGGGCTGCGCACAATAGGAGAAATATTAGGAACAGATATTAAATATAAGAATTTCAACTTATCAGAACTGTGTACTGTGGAATGTGCGCTTTCTTAAAATTCTTATATTTAATATCTGTTCCTAATATTTCTTCCTATTGTGCGTAGACCCTAACACTCTCTCTCGTTATTTACATCAAAAATTTGCGTTCTTCTTTAATGCGAAATCAAAATGTCTAAATTATCGATGTAAAGTTTTGTCGTCTAGTGACATACATTCCTGGGTATGATTATGATTGGCTGCATTTAGTAAAAAAAACGACCGTTGTGTAAAGTTGATTAATGATTGATTTTGCTCTATTTCTCACTGGATTTATAGTAAATGTATGAATTAATCACACATTTATATTCATTTTTATGAATGCAGTTCAATTTTAATCTCGGTTTACTAACTTTTTACTCTTTTTAGTTCTGAAAATAGCAAAAAGATAAAAATCATACGTTGAACCGAGATTAAAGTTAATCTATATAGTAGAAACGGATATTAAAGAATTTAAAAACGGTTGCTTTTTCTACTGAACGCAACCGATAAAATATTGCGTAAGAGGAAGTATAAGAAAATTGTTTTCGCGTAACCGCGAAATGAAATGGAATACATTCTGTAATATTTAAATGAAGAAAATTAATGCAATTCTCTTTTTGTCAAAGTCTCAAAGTATCTTAACTGTATCTTTGATGAATATCGTAAATTATTTTTAGATTCAAAATGTAAAAAAACTAATTTTTTTAATAGAATATATGTTCTAAAATTTTTAAATATGTTATTACATTTTTATAATTATAATTTTAAATGTATTTTATCGTTACATATTTAAACTTATTTTATAATCTGCAATATATAATTTCGCAAGATGAGAGCTTCCATCACTTCGGTATATTTCTGTGAAGTGGAATCATCATAAATTTTATTCTAATGATATCAAAATAACGGATATAAAATGATGTACATTAGGAATTGATAGGAGTTTATCGATAAAACCACGTTAAGGGAATATTATTATAAAATAGCACTTCTCGAAGGGTAAAAAAATTGACTTTAGAAATTGCGAAGAAACATTATTAAAGTCCGTTATAAAACTGCATTTCCTTTGTACAAAAATGTTCATTGTTATAAGGACATAATAAATACTTTATTTTCTCTTTTGGAACGGCAACTCGCCAAAAAGCCGCGGTGCTTCGCGCTTCCAGACTCAGCTGGTTAGAATTGAAAAACGAGGTGACAATTGTCACCCCGTAATGCATGTGTAAAAGTCTCCTTCGTAAAATAGCTCTCCCGCTGGTTACATTGTCGCGTTTCGACGCTCATCGCGCCGTATGACGCCAAAGGCAAAGACAACATTCGTGCGGCTGGACCTCGCGCAAAAAAACGTGGTCGACGACGACGATTCGTTCGTATTCTACACACGTTTTTTATACATTTCTTTCACAACGTTTACGTTGTCGGTGCGTAGGAAAACGAGTCGAATAACAAGTCGTGATGGAGATAATTATTGTACCGAATTTGCGTCTTTCATCGCGTTAATGCAAGCTGGCCGTAAAACTGGAAATCAAGAAATTGTGTCAGACAAATTGAAAACAGTCCGGGCAAGTCAGGAAAAAGTCAGGGGATTTTGTAAAATTTTCTGCAAAATTAAAATTCTCTTGGCTTTTTCGAAGAGTTTAATCTGCATACATTACGCACAGTTCTGAAATATAACAAGCGTCAATAACATTAATAGTAATATTACATAGTGATTTACATTATTAAATCGATCTTACAACAAAATATTTAATCATTTCCAAATAAGACGAAAATATAATTTTAAAATATGTTGAAAATAAATTTAAAGAAGTGTTAAAAATAAAATTTTTTAATATTATTTTTTTTGAAGTCAGAAGAAATCATAAAATTTTGTCTGAAAGTTAGGAAAAAGTTATGAAAGTTTAGAATGAAGAATTTGTGACAACGCTGTAATAGGATTCACAAAGTTGTATTAGATTTAACGTGTGTTATTGTATTCTATACTTCGAAACAAAATGGCGCTTGTTTGTTTATAATATTTTGATTATGAGACAATTGAAATAATTTAAATTTACATACGAGCGAAGCTCTGTCCTCGAAAACGACGGTTTTCTCTTCCGAAAAGAGCATGCCAATTAGAGCAACTTGGGAAAAAGAGTTGATCTTTTCGCGCTGTGGTCCATGAAGTTTTTTTTTTTGTTTACCGAGATATAAATTTGCTGCAATTACGGTATATTGTTTATACCTCAAAATAACAGTCGTTGTACGTTAACTGACACGAAATAACGGCGGTGGAACAAATTGGTAGCATGAAGTTTGAATCGATTGTTTTTCCAAGTTTTCCATTAGCAATCCTGTTTACATATACTAGTCTTTTAACAATAAAAGTATTTATGTTATTTTCTATTCTCATATCGTGTTGCATTCATAGTGCATTTTACGCGAGAAATTGTTTCAATTACAAGGATTAGTAACATGGGTTTCTGAGGAAAACTTCGAATGCACTTGCGCAATTATCATATTTTGGGATTACTTTTCTCGTAAAGGGTCGTATTCTGTAAGTAAAGAAACAGCTTCAAGAACTTTCTTCTTTTTTTCTTAAGTCAACCTCCTGTAATATTAATACTTATAAAACAAAAAAATAGAGTAACTATAATATTAATTTGAAGTTAGCAATGAACATAATATACATACATACATGAATAAGTGCTAAAGTAGATCTCTATATATTTTGAAGTCATCTATTTGATGGGCCCGAAAGACTTTCTTACGCGTTTTTACGCTTTATCGTACGGCATCTTTTATTCATGCCGGAGAACATCATTCGACATACCGTCGTCATCATGACGAATTCGCACCGATAATTCAGACGTTTTGTGTTAAAGAAGAGCGTAAGTTCTCGTAGAAAGAGAGAGAGGGGGGAGGGAGGGAGGGAGGGAGGGAGAGTGAGAGAGAGAGAGAGAGAGAGAGAGAGAGAGAGAGAGAGAGAGAGAGAGAGAGAGAGAAAGTATTTAATCGATGGCTCAATTTCGAGCGTTTAATTAAGGGTCTGCATCGTGCTTAATTCAATGTCTCTATCGTCGCGTCGCGGACGATTTCTAGACACTATCGGTGGTATCTCGTTTCCCTTTGCGTGGAAATTCAAATGCGCAGGACGAACCCTTCACCCTCCACGGCGGCCCCTTTTCCCGCGCCACTCACAGTAGCTTGATTACAGTCGCGAAACTCCATTGTCACTCCCGCGCAAACTCATTTGATTTCTCTCGACGCTTTTTCGACGATTGCTATGTTTGCTAGGAAGGAGGCGAGAACGAAGAGACCGAAACGGAAAACACGAGGATGAATGTTTGGGAGAATCGACGAATCTTTCCATAGCTTTACAGCTTTTAGAGTAACGAAATAGTCAGCTTTTTTTTTATGAATCGGCATGCTAATTTAATAGTCTGATGTCTTAGCCATGAAAGCAAATTCTCGATATAATGATCCGGTCGATATAATGATCATGAAGTTTCAGTGACCTGTCTGTGTGACTCTAAAATAATATGAAACACATTATTTATTTATATATTCTCTTTATTTTAATTTTAAGAAATATGTATACAATAAACCTGGGTATATATACACACTATATAGATTTATTGCAGTTTAATTAAAAACTGTGGTTGAATATATTTTATTTCCACTTTTCATCTTATTTCAATGATTAAATAAGTCTGTATTTTATTTTAAAAGAAAAATAATTTTTCTGTGAATTAAAAAGTTTACGTATCTTTTATATCTTTTGTTTTTAATATCAGGATAAAAATAGCGAAATGGAAACAATCTCTGTGTTATTAGCAGAGAAAATTTGAAAATACTTTTTATATTTTTAAAAAAGATTTTACATATATATATATATATATACACACATATATATCGAAGCAAACGAGTAAACTTTTCTAATGCTTTCCTAGAAAAAAATGAGGCACTATTTTATATAACAATAATAATAATAATTTATATATTGTATATGAAACTATAAAATTATAACTTATATAATGAACTTTATACCATATTCTATACATTTATCGACAAATCGATTATACTATAGTTTTGCATGTGATCTTGTTGGTGAGTTATAAGAAAAAATTTCGTTTTATATCTCTACATGGAGACCCACGAGGCTTATGAAAAGATAATGTAATATTTGTACACCGATTTCTGCGTAAAACCGTTGTTTGAAGAGGGCTCAATCTAAGAACCGAAACTTGTTATTATATATATTTTAAGTAGTTATATGTTTTTATATTTATGGATCAATTATGTGTTGTGTTTTTTAAAATTTTGTTTTAATTAGACGTTACATTAATTTGATTGTTTGACTCTTACATTGCCCTTTTCTTAGTGTTGTTTATTTCTATACATTTGTATAAAATGGTAAATGAATAATATTGGTTGCCGGTTCTAATATTTTTGAAACTTTCACGGGTACTTTCTATGTAGATGTGTTTCGTGAGTTGTCTCCATATCTATGTCCATTTTTGAAATGTCAATTGTTATCTTGTATCTGTTGCTTGTTCTATTATCTAACATGAAGAGTGCTTTA